AGGAAGGAAGGAAGGAAGGAAGGAAGGAAGGAAGGAAGGAAGGAAGGAAGGATCTCAGCCTCCTGGGTAGCAGCATGACAGGCGTGAGCCACCAGGGTTTGGAGTTTTTAACAGCGCCCTGGTATCTTTAATCTGAGAAGCTGCTGCTGTGGCTTCTCCGCATCGGGTCAAGCCTGAAAGGGCCTGCACGGTCTTATCTGCATTCCATGGCCGGCTCCAGAGGCCAGCTCCCCAGAGGAGAGCATGCTCAGGGCGAGCGACTCGGTGACCCCAGCAGGGGCATTGGAAAGCGCATTTGCAGTGATCAGCTCGGGTGGTCAGATGCTCACCTCAGCGCTCTCAGTTTCTGCCCCATGCTCCAAGGCCTGCAGCGAATGTTCGCCATGAGATCCTTCTGGAATTGAATACTCTGGAAGATCTGCTCCGGGTCGCTGCTGTCCCCTGCCTCCTCAGGGCTGACGCTGTCGTCCAGGTTGCTGAAGGGTGAGGGTCTGATTATACAGCGGCGTCTTCCCTGGGGAAGGTCCTCCACCTTGCTACCCCAGAGTCACGTGTAAACACACACGAAGGTGTGTGAGCACGTGTGCATACATGCACGTGTGCGACTGTGCGTGCATGTGATGTGTGCACGAGTGTGCATGTGGGGCATCTGTGGGGTGGGGAGGAAATCTGGCCGTGTCGGCCACTCTGGGGAGTGCGTTTCTGACTCTGCTCTGACAGTGGCGGGGGTGGGGGAGCTGCTTTTCAGGACAGCAGGCAGCAGTGCTGAGGGAGACCAGGAGGGGCGTCTGGTGGATTCCCTTCACAGGAGTCATAAGCTCTGGTGCAGACAGTGTCCTCTGCATCCCCTGCTGCCTCATTCTGTGGCCTGAGACCCCTCTCTGCCCTTCTGCTCAGTGACAGCCCAGACAGGCCCGGCAGAGCAGGAGTGGCGGCAGAGCAGGAGCGGCCTCGGGGGATGTCTCGGGGACGACAGTCATTACTCCAGGACCACAGGCCCCCTAACGCCCGGCAGTGCTGGCCCAGCTGGAGCCCGCGAGCCGCCGCGGCCATCCACAGGCAAGACTGCTTGTGTGGCTCCCTTCACCTACCTGGAGAATGTTCTCCAAAGTACACGGGTGTTTAAACAGTTAATGAGAAACATTCATGATAAATTCTGAGCAAATGCAAGCGGCATGACCGCCCGGTTCTAACCAGCGGGCACGCAGACAGGTCGCCCGGGCGCTGCTGGGTGAGCAGGAGCGCAGGTGCAGCCGGCGGGCAGCGCGGCCCCGCTGCAGGCACGGGTCTCTGGCGTGCGGCTCCTGATTAAGAACCCACAGCTCGCAGCCCTCTCTGGCCCCGGGCACAGCTGGGGAGCAGGAGCGCCTGGGAATGTCTCCGAGCTGAGCCGGAGCTGAGGGGCTGAGCAGGTCGGGGACTCTCCCAACTCCTGCACTCCCTCCCTGCATGTCTGTGGATAGACCAATTCACCCACCTGAGCCACAGGGTCTCCGGGTACAGGTGGTGCTGGCCGGCATTCCTCCGGATGCTCCTGGGGGGCTGGGATGTCCTGGAGGGCCGCATGGAGCCCCGGGCCAGCCTGGAGCCGAGCCGCCCAGGGTCAGGAGCAGGAGCTGCAGAGCTGCCCTGCCCGGCCAGCAGGAAGAGGTCAGGAGGCTGCTCATGCATATGAATGAGGGGGCTGCGGCCACGCGGATTGGCCAGAGTCTGAAGTCTGGACAGCGAAGGTGGGAGCCAGGCCGGGCGGCCTGGGGTGACAGTCTCTCCTCTGTGGTGCGTGGGCCCACCGCCCAGTCCACGTCTACCCCTCGGGCTCAGGGTCACACACAGGCAGGACTTACCTTTCCCATGCTAACCTCCCAGCCGTGAGGCTGAGTCCAAGAGGCTCACAGCCATCGCGTCATTTGTTTTATTTTGGAAGAAATGAGCGTAATGGCTACTTTTGATATGAGTCAATCATCCTATGTTTTGGGGGGATATTTGGTTTTCAGCATATATTTTAAAATTATCTATCTATCTATCTATCTATCTATCTATCTATCTATCTATCTATCTATCTATCTATCTAATAACAAATGGAAACAGCAAGACAAACAGTAAAAGTACCTAGAGCAGTACCACCTGATATTGGCATTAACACTCCTGTGTTTTTACCGAGAACATAATTTTCTTGGTGTTTGGATGTTTGGGGTTTTTGTCCCTCAGTTGTTCCATTGGCCTATGTAAAGCAGCTTGTGTATTGTTTTTATCCACTGTGAACACATTCGATCAGTTGGCCACAGCTGGGCATATTCCAGCTGGAATGCAAGCCATTCAGCCCTGACCGCGTCTCAGACGTCCCGAGATGCGGCTGGCTTGACTTCCTTAGAGTTTTCCAACAGCGTCAAAAGGAAGAACATTAAAAAAAAATCAGTGTCTTTTCAAATGAATACTACATTTATGTTGATCTAGGGTATCTTTACTGATGAATTTTAAAAATTGTTTTAAAATTACTTTTTTATTTTTTGGGTCCGGTCGTGGGGCCTGAACTCTGGGCCTGGGTGCTGTCCCTCAGCTCTTCAGCTCAAGGCTAGTGCTCTACCACTTGAGCCACAGC